TTATCAAGGTAAAATAGATGAATACAGAATCCCTAAAGAAAGCCCAACACGGCAAAATTGAAAATGTTGCAGGCTCGGTTTGATTGAGCCTGTTCATGGACGGTACTGGAAAGTGCAAGTTACCGTCCACGCCCCCTAGCACCGGCTTAAGCAGAATTCAACATTTAAACGTGTAATAGTAAAATTTTGAATTTAGAAACATCCGCAGATGTGTTCATACGGCGGTTATCATGGAACCTTCAATGTGACACTTCCGTGCCATTCCATGAAAAGCGGCGTATGGTCCCCAAGTAATAAAAAGCGTGTGCCCTAAACGAGAAAACAATGGGCGGAACTAACTAAAATGGAAGTCATATAAATTTGATTAGCCCCTTTTAGGGGCCGCTAAAGCTAAAAATAGAAATACATTTAAACGTCTATTACTACAGAACTAATTGATGGATGATCACCTAATTTTGTCGGAAGCATTCTTGGGTAGCCTTTTATCAAGTTTGTTAATATTAATATGATTGGCCCCTTTAAGGGGCCGCTCAAGTTAAAAATAGAAAAACCTTTTACTGTCTATTTCTATAGCACTAATTGATGGATGAACACCAAACTTTGTCTGTAGCATTCGTAGGTACTCTTTTATCAAGTTCGCTTATATTAATTTGATTAGCAATTTTTATGGGCCACTTAAGCCAAAAAGTGAAACACCTTTGAACATCATTTCTCACTGAAATAATTGATAGATGATCACTTAACTTTGTAGCATTCTTAGGAAGTCTTTTATCAAGTTTGTTCATATTAGTTTGATTGGCCCCGTTACAGCTAAAGCTTAAATGCCCCAGGTCATGGGATTTCTTCAACTTATTTTTTAAACATATTCTATGCTCAAATTTAATATAAGAAAATATTGACAACCCGGAAAAGCATTTGTTTCTGGTGAGCGACTCAGGGTCATCATGGTCCTCTAGTTTACATACAGACTTGAAATTTGAACCATGGGTGCCATTTCTGATGCCAACTTGAATTTAGATAGCAGCTGACCTACTTCTGATTTTTTTTTATACAAGGTAACCTACTGCATTGAATGTGACTTTAAATTTTGACCAGTTGTGTTATTTTTTATGCTGAATTGAATTTTAATAGCAACTGACCTATTACCGATGGGGGGGGGGGGGCATTTATATTTACCCTTGTCTGTCCGTCCTCTTCCCTCCATCCGTTTTCATTTTTATGTCGTACGTAGCTCAAAACATATTTGACCTAGAGTCAAGAAACTGTACAGGAATGTTGATCATCATGTGTAGTTGTGCACCGGGGTATTGTTGTGTGGATATATTTAGTATTTTAGAAGTATTACCATTGACTAAGTTAAAATGTACAGTTTTCAACTTGTGTCGCACGTTACTTAAAAAGTATTTGACCCTAGAGTCATGAAACCTTACAGGATTGTTGCTAAGCATGTGAAGTTGTGCACCTGGTGTTTCGCTTGTGGATTTATATTGTTTGTCAGAGTTATTGCCCTTTATTTAATAAAGATTTTCATTTTTGTGGCAAGAAGCTCAAAAAGTATTTGAATTAGGGTCATAAAACTTTACACGAATGTTGATTAGCATGTTTAGTTGTGCACCTGGGTATTTGCGTTTCGATTTATTTAGTATTTGTAGAGTTTTTGTCGTTGACTTAGTAAAAATTTGCACTTTTCAGTTTGTGTGACATGTTGCTCAAAAGGTACAAGGATGTTGATCAACATGTGAAGTCTTGCAGCTGGGCGTTAGTTTGTGAATGATGTTTTGTCAGAGTAATTGCCTTTGACTTATTGAAAATTTACAATTTTCAATCTGATGTACGTACCTAAAATATATTTAACCTACAGTCACGAAACTTAACAGGACTCTTGGTCAGCATATGTAGTTGTTCACCTTGGATTTCGCTTGTGGATTTATCAAGTATTTGTGGAGTTATTGCCCTTGGCTTATTAAAAACATTTCATTATACAGTGTTCTTTGTTCCTTGAGTGCTTGAATTAGAATCAATCACCTTTGCAGGAATAATGATCAACAATGCTGTGATTTTCCATGTGGATTTATTCAGTTTTGTTGGAGTTATTGCCCCTGGCTTAGTACAAATTTGCAGTTTTCAACTTTTTCAGGCATAGCTCAAAAAGTATTTGACATGTGACTTGAAAGTTTACAAGAATGTTTATCAGCATGTGTACTTACGCACCTTGGGTTTCGCTTGTGGATATATTCAATATTTTTAAAGTTCTTTCCTTTACTAAGTAAAATATTTTTATTTTTCACATTATGGCAAATGTAGCCCGTACAAAATTTGACATAGAGTCATAAGATTGAAAAACAGTGGAGTTTGTTGGGGGGGGGGGGCACCCGTATCGTATGGACGCATTTCTAGTCTTGATATAATTTGACCTACTTTCTTGCTTTTTGCCGTACAGACATGAAATTTGGACCAAAGGTGTAATTTCTGATGCTGCGTTGTTTTTTTTATATCAGCTGGCCTACTTTTGATATTTTTATTATTTGACCTTTTGTCTCTTTGTTTGAGGTACAGCTATGTTACCATATATAATATATAAAAAAAATTCTTGTCCCAAACTGTAAACTTCAAACATCTTCACCTTACATATGTTGCATGTGACATTTTGTGTATTGATTCACAAAAGTTATAAAAAAATGTCGCATCAAAATTACCCCTGCTCTCGTGGTCATTTATTCTCATAGGTACACACTTGCAACATAGAATTTTTGACAAAGCCTTTTCAAAGTATTAGGGCAAAATATTTCAATTTATATAGTGAATAAAGAAATGATGGGCCAGATGAATGATCTCAGGCAATCTTAGTGACCCTATTGTTTATTATGAAGAGAAAAAAAAACAATCGGTGTTGTGAAAGTATTTTACTGGAGGGGCAAGTTAAAGTTAAGCTGTACTTGCCGAAAGAGCTAAACTTGCCTTTCAGCAAGTTCATTTGAAAAATAATTTCCAATACAAAAAGCAGTTGTTTCTTGTGAGCGACTCATGGTCATCATGGCCCTCGTGTTTTTAGCTCACCTGTCACAAAGTGACAGGGTGAGCTTTTGTGATCGCTTTTCGTCCGGCGTCCGTCCGTCGTCCGTCCGTAAACTTTTACTTTAAATGACATCTCCTCATAAACCACTGAGCCAATTTCATCCAAACTTCACAGGAACGTTCCTTTGGTGGTCACCTTTAAAAAATTTTCAAAGAATTTAATTCCATGCAGAACTCTGGTTGCCATGGCAACCGAAAGAAAAAACTTTAAATATCTTCTTTTAAAAAACCATAAGAGCTAGAGCTTAGATATTTGGCATGAAACATCTTCTAGTGAGTGTCTACCAAGTTTGTTTAAATAAAAGCCCTGGGGTCAAAATTGGCCCCGCCCCGGCGGGTCATTGATTTTCCCTATATGCATATAGTAAAAACTTAAAAAATCTTCTTTTAAAGAACTCAAAGAGCTATGGCTAAGATATTGAGCATGAAACATGTTCTAACAGGTGTCTACCAAGTTTGTTCAAATAAAAGACCTGGGGTCAAAATTGGCCGCGCCCCGGGGGGTCATTGATTTTCCCTATATGCATATAGTAAAAACTTAAAAAATCTTCTTTTAAAGAACCCAAAGAGCTAGAGCTAAGATATTTAGCATGAAACATGTTCTAATGGGTGTCTACCAAGTTTGTTCAAATAAAAGCCCTGGGGTCAAAATTGGCCCCGCCCCGGGGGGTCATTGATTTTCCCTATATGCATATAGTAAAAACTTAAAAAATCTTCTTTTAAAGAACTCAAAGAGCTATTGCTAAGATATTGAGCATCAAACATGTTCTAATAGGTGTCTACCAAGTTTGTTCAAATAAAAGCCCTGGGGTCAAAATTGGCCCCGCCCCGGGGGTCATTGATTTTCCCTATATGCATATAGTAAAAACTTAAAAAATCTTCTTTTAAAGAACTCAAAGAGCTATGGCTAAGATATTGAGCATCAAACATGTTCTAATAGGTGTCTACCAAGTTTGTTCAAATAAAAGCCCTGGGGTCAAAATTGGCCCCGCCCCAGGGGGTCATTGATTTTCTCTATATGCATATAGAAAAAACTTAAAAAATCTTCCTTTAAAGAACCAAAAGAGTTAGAGCTAAGATATTTAGCATGAAACATGTTCTAATAAGTGTCTACCAAGTTTGTTCAAATAAAATCCCCGGGGTCAAAATTGGCCCCGCCCCGGGGGGTCATTGATTTTTCCCTATATGCATATAGTAAAAACTTAAAAAATCTTCTTTTAAAGAACTCAAAGAGCTATGGCTAAGATATTTAGCATCAAACATGTTCTAATAGGTGTCTACCAAGTTTGTTCAAATAAAAGCCCTGGGGTCAAAATTGGCACCGCCCCGGGGGTCATTGATTTTCCTTATATGTGTATAGCAAAAACTTAAAAAATCTTCTTTGAAAAAACCCAAATATCTAGAGTTAAGATATTAAGCATGAAACATCTTTTAGTGAGTGTCTACAAAGTTTGTTCAAATAAAAGACCTGGGGTCAAAATTGGCCCCGCCCCGGGGGTCATTGATTTTCTTTATATGTGTATAGCAAAAACTTAGACATCTTCTTTGAAAAAACCCAAATAGCTAGAGTTTAGATATTAAGCATGAAACATCTTCTAGTAAGTGTCTACAAAGTTTGTTCAAATAAAAGCCCTGGGGTCAAAACTGGCCCGGCCCCAGGGGTGTCATTGTTTTTAACTATATGTGTATAGTAAAAACTTTAAAAAAATCTTCTTTCAATAAAGCCCAATGAGCTAAAGCTAAGATGTTTAGCATGAAACATCTTCTTATGGGTGTCTACCGAGTTTGTGCAAATAAAAGCCCTTGGGTTAAATTGGCCCTGCAACGTTGGGGGGGGGGTGGGGGTTGGGGGGCCTATATACAGGTGAGCGACCTCAGGGCCATCATGGCCCTCTTGTATTTGTTTGTTTGTTTTTTTCTTTCAGAATGAAAAAGAAGAAACCAACGAAAAAAGGATCAGATGAGAATAAAAATGAGGAGTCGATTCATTCTTTCCTTTTCATGGCAAACGGACCAGAAAAACCAACCAACGAAGTGGTCGTCTGTTAACATTGGCACCCTAAATAGGCTTTTTCAATTTTGCTATCATATACTGTAAAATCCATGTTCATACATTGTATAGACAAGCCAATCTCGTAACAATAGTCGGTAAACAAACACATGGCTGTATTTAAATATTATCCGACAATATTGACCAGGTACTGCTTTAACTTTCGTAAAGGGCATAATATAAACACTGATATCTTACAAATATATCGGTATATTAATTTAACACGTCAGAGAGGTGTGATGGTTTGCTATAGATGCCTGGCTATGGATTTGAAGGTTTCTATTTCGATTCCTAATCGACACCACGTTATGAAGATACACAGTTTTTAAATTTACTTACAAGAATTAATTTGAGATATTGGTACTACAACTCGTTTTAGGATACCTTTCAAACAATCTTTAATATATTTTATTTCATGATCGTTAATACTCAATGAATCGACTAGTAGTTTTCACTTGCTGTGTCAGTCGTACTGCCTATACTGTTTTTCTGTTGATGAAGATGTTTCCTTTGTTTTATCGAGATATGTCCGTAAATACGCATTGTTCCTTCTTTGTCACATTTACCATTTGTGCATATCATATCATAAAGTTTAACATAGATAATAAAAATGTTTTTATATTTTACAGTGTAATATTTGTGTAAATTTCAAGTCTTTTATTCACTTTCTTTCGTTTAAAGTCAGTCGTACTGCCTATACTGTTTTTTCTGTTGATGAAGATGTTTCCTTTGTTTTGTCGAGATATGTCCGTAAATACGCGTTGTTCCTTCTTTGTCAGCATTTACCATTTGTGCATATCATATCATAAAGTTTAACATACTGGTTGGAGACCACCAAAACCGGACAACCACCAAACCCGGACGGCCCCGAAAATGCTTAATTTAGTATTTTCTTTGTTCAGTGGATGTCAGTCTCTTTTTTATCAACAATAAGTGCATGTTTCTTTTAAAATTAAGTAAATAAATTTATTTCAACCTCCGTAAATGGTAATATTTTATTGTCTATTTCAAGAATGTTACCATTGAAATTCGGGGGCCAAGAAAGCAATGCCTGACCTCATTTACCAGCTCAAATCATTTGCAGGGTGAATAATAGAATATCCAAAACTTCAGCATTTGTTGCTGACATATTGTACATCATGTTACAAATCAAAAATCAAAATACCCAAGCTTTTATCTGAATTAAATCACATCATGTACATATCTGTCCGGACATATGGTACTGTAGTGTAGACAATTTTGGTAATTTTGATACCCTCCTTGTCGAGTCTCAGATATATAGTGTCAATACAATCAGAAATAAACAAACTAGTTTGTTAGTTAGGAGAAGAACCTAGCTGAACTGTGTCAAATTTTTTCGTCTCTAGATTAAAAATTATGAAATCTGTATGGAAAAATGTTCCAAAAGTGTCCGGTTGATGGTCTCCGACCAGTAGATATTAAAATGTTTTTATATTTTACAGTGTAATGTTTGTGTAAATTTCAAGTCTTTTATTCACTTTCTTTCGTTTAAAGTCAGTCGTACATGTACTGCCTATACTGTTTTTCTGTTGATGAAGATGTTTCCTTTGTTTTATCGAGATATGTCCGTAAATACGCATTGTTCCTTCTTTGTCAGCATTTACCATTTGTACATATCATATCATAAAGTTTAACATAGATAATAAAAATGTTTTTTTTTATATTTTACAGAGTAATATTTGTGTAAATTTCAAGTCTTTTATTCACTTTCTTTCGTTTAAAGAATTTATAAAAACATTAATGCAAAACCAGACGTCCGATTTAGAATAGACCTGTGATTCATTTTGCAGAGAGGAATAAAACGGTATAACAAAGACAACAGCAGTTCATGAAGTAAAGCAGCTTTGATTTTGCAAAAAATAATATAACAAAATATCCACGAGATTTCAAGTAAATGTATACTTTTCAGTTTTTAGCTCACCAGAACCGAAATTTCAGGGTGAGCTATAAGTATCAATTGGGGGATGCTCCGTCGTCCGTCGTCATGCGTCAACAATCATCGTCTTCTCTGAAACTGATTTACCTAAAATTTGGCCTGTAGCATCCTTGTGACAGTCACACTTAATTTGCTTATGTCATTTCAAATGGCCCCTTTAATGGGTCAACAGACTAAGGAATAGAAACAAAAAACATTTAAACATCTTCTTCTTCTAAATTAAATGATGGATGATCACCAGAATTTGTCTGAATTTAGGTAGTGTTTTATCAAATTTGCTCATTTTAATTTGATTGGCCTCTTTTAGGGGTCTCTAGAGCTAAAAATAGAAAAAATCTTTAGACATCGTCTTCTACAGAACTAACTGATGGATGATCACCACACTTTGTCTGTAGCATTCGTAGGTAGTGTTTTATCAAGTTTGCTCATATTAATTTGATTGGCCCTTTTAGGGGCCACTAAAGCTAGAAATAGAAATACCTTTAAACATCTACTTCTACATTACTCATGGATGGATGATCACCAAACTTTGTCAGTAGCATTCTTAGGTAGTCTTTTATCAAGTTTGCTCATATCAATTTGATTGGCCTCTTTGAGGGGTCTCTAGAGCTAAAAATAGAAACAACTTTAATTGTCTTCTTCTACCGATCTCATAGGTGGATGATCACCAAACTTTGTCTTCTTAGGTAACCTTTAATCAAGTAAAGTTGTTTGGTCCTGTATGGGTGTCAAAAAAGGGCCCCTTAGCATAACATAGAAAAACATTTAAACATCTTTTTGAACTGAAGTAATAGATGGATGACCACGTATCCCTGTCTGTAGCATTCTTAGGTTGTCTTTTATCAAATTTGCTCATATTAGTTTGTATTGCCCCTTTTAGGGGCATCTAAGGCTAAAAATAGAAAAATCTTTAAACATCATTTTGTACTGAAGTAAATGATGGATGATTTCCAAACTTTGTCTGTAGCATGCTTTTGTAGTCTTTTATCAAATTTGCTCATACTAAAATTGATAGACCGATTTGAGAGGCCGCTAAAGCTAAAATGCCCGAGGCTAGGACATTCAGCTCTAGAATTTTGACATACATTGCATCATAAAGGGTCATTTGTAGGTCATAGAATAGAATGTTTACCCAGGAAATAAAATTAGGCCTAAAGAATTACATTTGTTGTCTGTACCTTACTAACAAAGATGAGTTTGTATACACAATTTTTATTGAAATTTGTTTGAATTGGATTCAAACTTGGAGAAAGCAAATTTCAAAACATTTTTGGGACACACTGTTGAACCTGATGTTTCATGTGCATAATTGAATTTTTGTATCAATTGAGCTGTTATGGATGTTTTGATCCCTTTTCTTTTTGATGTACATACTTGAAATTTGGACCAGGAATGTAATTTTTGATGCTAATTGAATAAGATATAAGATTTCTTTTGATTTTAATGATTTCGCTTGACCTAGTTTCCTATTTTTTTATGTACTTACTTTACATTTGGAAAAGGGGTGTAATTTTTGTAGTTAATTTAATTTTGATATCAGCTGACCTTCTTTTGAAATCTTTGATACCATTTGACCTACTTGCCTGTTGTTGTTTTTTTGTTTTTTCTGACATTCAGATTTTATATTTGGAGCAGGGGTGTAAATTCTGATTCCGAATTAAATTTTGATATTAACTGATCTACTTTTGATATCACTTGACCATCTTTCTTGATTTCCGACGTACAGACTTGAAAGTTGGACAATGGTTGTAATTTCTGATGCCATATTGAATCTTGATATCAGCTGACCCACTTTTGATATTGTTAATATCAGTTGATCTGTTGTCTTGCATTTTATCATACAGACATAGAATTTTGACCAAGGGTGTAATTTGTGACGTAGAACCAAATGTTTATATAATCTGATCTTCTTTTGATATTTTTGATATCATTTTATTTTCTTGTTTTTTTTACATACAGACAGTGAGACTTGGAATTTGGATTAAGGATGTAATTTTTTATGCAAAATTGATTTTTGAAAACAACTGACCTGCTTCTGATACTTTTGATACCACGTGACCTACTTTCTTTTTTCTTGACATACAGACTTTAAATTTGTACAAGGGGTGTAATTTCTGATGCGGAATCCAATTTTGATATCAGCTGACCTACTTTTGATATATTTGATATCGCTTGACCTACATTTTTGTTTGAAATTTGGACCATGAATGTCCAAGTTGAATTAAATTTTGATACTATTTTACCTACTTTGGATATTTTTATATTATTTGACCTACTTTCTTGTTTTTTGACATACAGGCTTGAAATTTGCACAAGGGGTGTATTTTCTGATGCTGAATTGAATTTCGATATCAGCTGGCCATTTCTTGATATTTTATACATTGTTTGACCTATTGTCATTTTTTGAGGTACAGTTGTGTTACCAAAAAGAATATTAAAAAACGTCAAAAACTGTAAACGTCAAACATCTACACCTTACATACTTTGCATGTAACATTTTTTGTATTCATTCACAGTAGTTATAAAAATGTCCCATCAAAATTAACCCTGTTGTAAGGGTCATTTATTCTGCATTTATTCTACATAGTCTCATTGGAACACACTTGTAACAAATATATTTTTAGCAAAGCATTTTCAATATATCAGGACAAAATAATTCAATTTATATAGTGAAAAATGAAACAAAGGGTCAGATGAGTGATCTACGGCCATCTTAGTTACCCTATTGTTTAATATGAAGAAACAAACACTACACAAACACAAAAAAAGTCAGTGTTGTGAAAGTATGTACTTAGAGGGGCAAGTTTAAGTTGAGCTGGACTTGCCTTTTAAAGTCTTACACAGAAAAACAGTTGTTTCTGGTGAGCGACTCAGGGCCATCATGGCTCTGATGTTTTTTGTTTTTGTTTGTTTTTTTTTGTTGTTTTTTTGAGAAACACAAAGACAAGTCTGTGATTACCGTTTGAAAATTAATTAGGCCGGAAAGGAAAGACCAAATATTAAGTATGCGAAGCGACTCGCCCAGAAAAAACAACAGAGATCAAAAACATTTTAAATTTTAGATGAAATTTCTCTGGAAAACCTGTGCTCGTTTGTCAAATGTCAGATCGCTTGAATGTCGGGCCTCATTCCTTTTGGATAAAAAGTTATCAACATCGCAAATTCAATTCATTATGACAAACTTGCCATTAAAAACCATAAAAAGATTTATGTAATTATTATTGTAAACATTCTTACGTATGAATAATAAAAATAGTTAAATTAAACAACATTATATCATCATATATGTGCTTATAACCTATACACATATAAAAGAAAAATTATACTCATATTTATTTTGTCTTCAAATAACATAAGTTTCTAAAATATTATTAAAACCCTACTACAAATTTTCAAAAAAGACAAAGATGTTTCTTAATGATTATACAATAACGATTGATGTTTGTATAAAGTCAAATTTTAACTTTTACATTTTTAGCTAATGTTTTACGGCAATTGAAATACATTATGTGCATATACATTTATTTCCACCCCATTTTCTTTACTAGAAAATGTTGCTTGTATTAAATCGTCTGGTAGAATGAATATTTCATACACATAAAACTTTAAATACTAAACTATCAAACACGTAAAACTCATGCACAAGTATTGGTACAGACCAATACTTTACATTGTAAACTATACACGTTACGAAAAGACAAATAATTCACGATTTACAAACGACACGCGTGAAAAAAGACAGCCTTTCTTCACGTTCTTGCGTTTAAAGAAATAACAAAACATAAATGCAATACCAGACGTGCGATTTAGAAATTATATATATATTGAGATATAACAAGAAATTTACTTGCTACAGCGCCAATGAATTTTACACATTCAATCTCCCCTCAAAGGAGTCTGAATCATATCCGTTCTTAATAGTTTCTCCTTTCCAACGACCGTGCCCCTTCCAGCACCTGTAATTAACGCCAGCGTTAGCCGCCACCAACGGGAAGAGTATGTAAAGCGATGTTCGAATCTCAATGCGATGTTGAACAACCTCTTTTAGTCTAGAAACCAAACATTCTTTAGCCCTAGTATAACTTGGTTTTTGTTTTGTTTGTTTGTTTTAGGTTTTACGTCACATCGACACAGTAAAGGTCATATCGCGACGTTCCAGCTTTACTGGTGGAGGAAGACCTCAGGTGCTCTTCCGTTCAATATTTTAGGCACGAACGGGCACCTGAGTAGAACCACCGACGTTCCGTATAACTTGATGATTTGTTTTCTTGTATAAAACTACATTTCCCTTTTGATCTAAACCACAGTTTAAACATGATGCTGTCATCCGAAACGGACAAACCCGTAATTTGAAAATATCTTTTAATCATGTTATACGGACATGCTACCGAACACCCTTCGAAATAACGATTGTATTTCCGTGTCGGTACTGGTCAATCTTGCTTTTTATGCCACCGCAGCATCTGCATAATTATAGCGATTCACCTGTCTGTGTGTGTATATGTGTGTGTGTGTGTGTGTGTGTGTGTGTGTGTGTGTGTGTTGGGGCGCGCGTGCGCGTGTGTGTTCTATAGATTATATAGTGAAATATTTAGCTGAAAAACCACTCTTCAATTTAAACCAAACTTGGCATGATTGATCCTTGGGTGTAGAGCTTCCAAAATTGTTCAAAGAATTTAATTCCATGCAGAAGTAAG